CCTCGCTCTAGTCTCCTGTGATGACAGAAATACCTAGTTATATATCTCTTTTAAACAGTTTTCTCCCTCCTCTGTTTCAGTGCAGTATACATTATTGATCCCATCTTACTCAGTCTCTCCCCAACAGTGGCATCATGTAATATTTGTCCTTTTGTGACTGGGATATTTCATTGGGCCTTTTCAGGTCCTGATTTTTCAGAAGTGAATCACCAGGCTTTTCTTCCAGGGCACATCTGGGTACTCACAAACCTGAGCAGCCGATCATGCTATGGTAGGAATAGGATAGTGCTGCGATTTAAGTGACAGTCCTGGGATCAAGTTTCAGCTTTGCTACTATGTGCAAAAGAGCTGGACTTGGAGAATAACAAGTGAAGAATTCACTCAACATTTCTGCAGCTGAAAGAACGGAAAAATTCAAGCCTCAAGTTGCAATACTGAGAGATGCTATGGGTATTAGGTAAAATAAAATGGCCTCATTATCACTAGAATTACTACTTCTCAAATAAACCCCTTCCCCTAGTTCCAGCCTGCTCAATTACCAGTGGAAAGCTGAATCCATAAAAATAAGACATTCCAGGAATACCACAGAAAACTGATCTGAAGACCTGACCAAAGACTATACCTGCAAGACAAGAAAAGACGCCATCGGAACACTGCCTAACCAAGACCTTCTCATGGGATCTGCTGAACCCACCAACAGTCTCTGTATATAAACTCCCCACCAACAGCAAGAGCTGCTGACCTCTAATTTGAGAGCTCAGACCATCTGCATCCAGGTGAAAAGAAACCAGTTTATTGCTTCACACATAACCCTTGTATGGTTGATATGATTACTCCTAGTCTGACTCCAAACTCACTCCCTCTTCTCTGAAACTTTTAATGGGCAAAATCTTGAATGAACCAGGAAGCATCAAAAGATGGAGGGAATACAGAGACACTGTTGTTGTTATGTGCCTTGGTCAAGTCACTTGCGACTCATAATGACCCTTTGTACAAGAGCCTTAAACCCTGCTCTATCCTGTGCCAATCTTGCCGTCTCCCACACACCTACTCCCACTACCCCAGTCACTGAATCGATCCATCTCATCGGGGGTCTCCCTCCTGCGCTGTCCCCCCACCCTCCCAAACATGATGTACCTCTCCAAGAACTGGTCCACCCATGCATCATGCCCAAAATATGTCAGACAAAGCTTCAGAATTTTTTTAAAAATTTTTTTATTATCTTTATGTGTGTGTACTGTCACACAGGATCTGACTGGTACAGGAGGAGATGTCCCCTCTTTCTCCAGCAGAGCATCTGGTGGATTCAAACTGAAACTTGAGAATTCTTTACTCCACCCAGCTTCACCCTCTCCAAGACAAACCTGTTTGCTCTCCTAGCAGTTCATGGTATATTCAAAACTCTTCTCCAGCACCACAGCTCAAAGACATCAATTCTTTCTTTTTTTTCCCTTTTTTTTTACAGAGGTTTTGGATTTCCATTCATTCATTGCCGCAATTTTCTCCCTGCCCACCCCTCCCCACCAGCTCGCTTCCCCCGCCGAAGAGAGAAAAAAATAAAAAAATTCCTTCATTAGTATACAATTCCCACGTCCCTTCCCCCCACCCCCCACCCCAAGTACACTTCTCTATGCAACCTTAATTCTGGATTCCTGTGCTAACCATAATACTCAATCATATATCACTTC